CCCAAGGCACAAAGCGTTATGATACTTGATCACCGGGTCACAGTCCCGAATTATGGAATGACCCGAAACAGAGTGGTACATTGACACTCTCATTAAAATTAGTTTTTCCATGATTTTACATATAACTAAAGAACCAGAGGAAGAACAAAATTGTTTAGAAGAGAATAATCTCATGTCTCCTAAATTGATTGTAGGAGATGGAATATATTGTTTACTAAACACTTAGTAATATGCAATCACCAGGTTTTGTTAATCGATTATGCGGAATATGAAGTGACAAAGAATCATGTCGTGAATAAGGAGATCGGTTATAACATTGATTTTCAAATGGATATTTTAGTAATTTAGTTATAATATAATTTAAAGATATTGTTTTTAAATTTTAAATATGATTAGATTAAGTATAATGGTATATATGTAAGTTTATGGGTTTTATAAAGATATACATATAATTTGAAGTTTTACAAGGATATAGATATAATTATGAAAGTTTATAAGAATATATATAAAATTCTCCTTCTATTAAAAACAAATTTTAAAAATTAGTCGTTGAATGGTCACAAAGGAGACAAAGAAGAAGGCTTCAAGCAGCTTAAGCAACCTGTTTCTCTACACATTTGGCGGTATCGCACGATCTATGGACAGTGTTGCCAGCAACACCGCCTTCAAATCGTTGCAACGTTTGGCTGACTCCGTCCACCCTTGAGTTTCACAAAAGCACTAAATGATGTGTTGTTAATTCTCTAACCAAGACATAGCTTATTTTCAAAAGTAATGTATATACATTGTCTTTGTGATTGGTATTTTTGTATCTCTTTAAAGAAATTGGCTTGTCATGATGTAAATTAAAAAGGTTTAAAATACAATAAGCTAATGCTTTCTGTTGCCTTATAGTCGATAATGTTTAAGAAAAGCTAGCAAAAATCAATACAACTCGTCAATTCAACCATCTTAAAGTTAGCTGATTGAGTTGAAATTTTCAATCAATGTAATTAAACGAGTCAACTCAATTATATGTTAAGATAAAAAGGTTGGGTTAATGTTTTAAAACCTCATGCCAAGTCGTTGACCCATTTATATGTATTTATTAATGTTTTATATTTTGATTAATCTTCCAAAAGATACAAAAACAAAACCATAAAGTCATACAAGTTATATGGACAATTAAGTCGTAGTTGATTTCTTTTTAATCTTTGAGCAATTACTTGGAGTTTCAACTTATTTAACTAAGTTTAAATGTTTTCAATTTATGTAAATAATGAAATTTAAATGGCGTCCTGTTAATCTAGAGATTGAGTTGGGAAAAAAAAGTAATGTGAGGTCAATCCAATCCGTTTATCTTACATGTTGGGTTATGTTGAAAATATCAGTTATCAACCAAACTAATCAACTCAACTTGTTTGTCAACCCTGTGTTTATATGTATGTGACATATTTATCGTTGTTCATTATTGTTGTAAAATGTTCTTAATACATATTTGCACAATTTGTGCTTGTACTTTTTGGTTTTAGTACTTTTGGTAATGGTTATAAGACCATTCGGTATGGGTATAATGAAGGCCATCGTGGTTGAGCTAGACCACGACCACGGGCGTGCACACCATCCCGACCGGTCGTGGTCAATCATGGTCGTGCTCTTCCGTGTTCCAGACAACGAATTCAAACGACGAATCAAAAACATTTTCTTTCTTTTGACCGTTCAACGGTCATTTTGTTAAGTTTTAATTTTTTTTTTTTAAAAAAAACTCAATACTTATATAAATCTAATAAAATCCTCACATTTTACTCTCATTCTATAAACCAAAAAACACATCGAGGATTTTGAATTGTTAAAAAAAATTGACAAGGATGATAACGAGAAATTCATTTCGACTTGCTTTAATGTTGTGCAACACATTCACGATGAAAAAAATTCGAATGTTGCTCGTACAAGGGCGGTCGTCAATCGTGATCGTCAAGCCGCACACGACTTATTGGTATGTGATTACTTCGTTCATAATTGTTTATACAATGATGACGCATTCGAACGTCGTTTCCGTCTAAATAAGGCGGTAATTTTACGTATTAGTAATGCCTTAGAAGCCTGTTATGATTTTTTCAAACAAAAATCTGATGCTAGAGGAAGAATGTGTTTTGGTAGTATATAAAAGTGTGCGGCTGCGCTTACGTATTTGGGATACAGTATAGCATTTGATGCATCTGACAAATACTTCAAAGTATTTGAGAGGACCGTAATTGATTGTCTAGATTGGTTTTGCGCATGTGTGTATGAGGTTTTTCATCAAGAATATTTGCGTAAACCAACTCCACATGATATTAAGAGATTATATTCGGCTCATGAAGAGAGGCATGGATTTTCGGGTATGCTTGGCAGTCTAGATTGTATGCATGTGGCTTGGGAAAAATGTCCAAATGTATGGCGTGATCAATTCACTTGAGGAAATATAGGTGAACCAAGTATAATTCTAGAAGTTGTCGCATCTCAGGATTTATGGATATGGCATTCTTTCTTTGGAGTCGCGGGGTCTAACAACGACATTAACGTTCTTGGTCAATCTCCACTTTTTAACAATCTTTGAATCGGCAAAGCATCTGATATGACGTTCACGGTGAACGGACATTCGTACAAATACGGTTACTACCTTTGTGATGGGATATATCCGAATTATTCTACACTTATGAAGGTATATTCGGTTCCTCGAAGTGAAAAGGCAAAGTTGTTCACAAAGAGACAGGAATTAGCGAGAAAGGATATCGAGAGGGCATTTGGAGTCCTCAAGCAGACGTGGCATGTAGTGAAATACGTTACCGGCTTTAGGATAAGGATAGAATTAAACGAATGGTCCCGGCATGTATTATAATGCATAATATAATCATTGAAGATCAAGGTCGAGCGATTTGCACGTATGATCCGGACGACGTTGTCATCCCGCTTGAAAAATTCGTATCAGGAACGAATGAATTTTTATCACGAGTTGTTGAAATTAATATCAGCGAAACGTGTTTCAATCTTCGAGAAGATGTCACGGATCATTTGTACCAACTCAATATGAACGAATATTGGTTTTTTATTTTTTTTACTTATGTTTGTTTGTTTTTTTTTAATTTAGGTTATTTAAGTTAATGTAATGTTTTTTTTATTCTAGGTTAATTAAGTAATGTAGTTTGAAGTTGTATTTTTATTTTTATAATTAATGAAAAATTAGTTAAAAAATTCAATGTTTCTTTTATTTTCAAAAAAAATATAATTTTATTATATTTTTGAATTAAAAATAATAAAAAAGATCGATGTGGAGTGGAGTGGTTCATATCTTATAAGTTTAGTTGTAGTTAGTGGTGATGACGTGTCACCCACCACTATAGTGGTTAGTAGTTATATGAATGATAGACTAAAGTTTTTTGTTATCCATGAGAATGAATGATTTTAGAAAAAACAATTTTAGGCATCATCCAATCATAATAATGCTTTTCTTTTCTTTCTTGCTTTTAGGCTTCACATCCATGTATGTTCGAAACATCGGTTTCGATACTCAAAAAGTCTTGTATTGAGTTTTGTATAGTGTTTGAAGGAATTATACTCTTTGTTTGATTTGTTGTAAAGTTCCAGTATCTTTGGAAATATACATTACCATGGTTTTTTTCCGATATTTTCTTTTGTAAAATTTTTATTTCTTTTTCCAAGTTTTTTTATAAATAAATAAATAAATAAATAACCTTGTTTTACAACATAAGTTAAACTAAAACATCCAAGAAAACCTTGTTTGGGACTCTTTGTATTTAACTTTGCAAGTTGAAAGATCTTTTCAAGATTTTCAAACTTTAATGATTAAACCAAAATCGTTCGGCAGTCTTTGTCTTTGTCTTTGCATTTAACTTTTTTTAATCTTCACGCCACACTTGAGTTTCCATCCTTTAAATTATTTTCATTGAACTTTCTTCACAAACCAATCATTATTTTCTTTTAATTTACAACAAAATAATCAATTATACTTAATTTCCTCAATTATAAAAGGTTGTTCCTTTCTTTTTCCTAGTTCCATCCTCTATCAGTCGAATAAATTGTCTGTTATTCAACTATCTGTCTATATTTAACGTACTAGCTGAAAAGTTAGCTGATAGTTAAAGAACTAACTGTTAACCGATAAAAAATGACGTTTACATAAAAACTATCCGATAAGTTAGTTGAAAAATATAAACCAACATTAAAGGTCATTTAAAAAAATATGATGTTTTTAATTAATTAAGGATATATTTAGGAAATTTTATAAAAGTTAATGAAAAGCTAGCCCAATTAGCTTTTTAAAAAGCTAGATTTTAAACTACTTTTTCGCTTGCTAAACATAACAACATAAAAAACTCAAAAAATAAGCTAGCTTATCAGCTAAATTTGGCGCGCCAAACATAGCCTAAATGACCATTTTACCCTTCATTTCTCTTACTATATTGCATAATCTTATTTGAATGAAACTAAATGTCCATTTTACCCGTGCATTTCATTAAACAAACTTCAAATTCATCACTTAAATAATATTCATCAACTTTTAAGTCATTAAGTCAGTTTTCTGGCTTAACCTATTTAGTCATTCTATCCAAATTATGTAAAAAAGAAACAATCATATACAAGTATCCAAATTAATTACTTAACCCTTTAACTCATTAAGTCAAAGAAACAACACTAAATCCATTCCACAATCCCTCATTATTGTAAAAACCTTTTTTTTCTTTTAAGTTTTACAAAAATTGTCAACACAAAATGAAATCAATATTTTTAGCTTTATGGAATCTTTAAGTGAAGCCAAAATCCACAAAATGAGAACGAAAATGAAAATGAACTACTAGAAACAGCTTTCTTAACATTAATTAAAAGAGTTATTTAACCATAACAAAAAAAAAAAGAACAATTAGAAAGACCTAAAGAACAAACTAGTCATAACTGCTAAAATGAAGCTTATAACACATAGCAGTTGTTCTATAAAACAAAAAAAACCATGGATGGATCATTCATTCACATGCAGGTTTTGTATCAAAGCTACTCAAACAAATCGCAAAAGCTTGATAAGCAGAAAGAGGATACCTATAATCCATGGTGAAAATATCCTTCCCAATTTTCCCAAATTGCAAAATCACTTTCTCTTGTTCAACAGCTGAAACATTATGACTCGAGTCAACAGCAGCCACAAGTTGAAAATTCTTCACAGATGCAACAGTCACTCGTCCTTTAAAATTCAAACACCAGCATTGCAACTGTTCATGCCACCTAGGCGCTTTGTTTTTAAGCATTAAAGAGTCGAGGGGATTTGAATTGGGTGTTGTTGTTGTTGATAAAGATGATGTGGATCTGTCGATGGTTTTGAAAGGGAAAGATTTTGGAGTTGGAGCAGTGCCTCCTTCTTGGATTGAGGAAATGGGTATGGAATGCATTGTGCAGTTCATTCTTCTTGGGCCACGTGTTCGAAGGACATTTAGTTCGTATGAGATTGTGGCTATGGAGTAGCTGCATGAAGGTAGTTTTGGGGAGACTTGTTTTTTCTGGAATCGTTGGCTTGATCGGTTGTGATTTGTGGTGTCGGTTGGTGGTTGGCTGTCGTAGATTGTGAACTTGGTTCCGAGGAAATTAGATCTGTTTTTTGAAAGAAAAAAGAAGGAGAAGAAGAAGAAATGATTTGGGATTTGGGATTTGGGAATTGAGATGAAGGATGAAGGATGTTAATTTGATGTAACGTACCTTAGTTTGCCAACGTATGTAGAGGAAGCTCGTGAGAAATCATCTGCGACTAAAGAAATGGCGAACTCTGTGCTTGTTGCCCTTCTGATTTTCTTGGCTGCTAATAGTAGTTTATCGCTTTCGTCTTCAGCTGTTGAAGTGTGGATCATGAAGGTTGTTAGATTCAGAAAAAGAATGGTGGAAGAAGAAGAAGAAGAAGAAGATGATGAATAATCGTGACTTACATGGGGTTAACCCAAAGTATAATCGGTGAGTGGAAGTTGCTCTGTCTCTTCTTATGTAGCATTGAATTGGGGAATCTCGAGGGCCAGGCTATTATGGAAGATTTAGAAGAAGATGAAGAAGAAGAAATTATGATTCGTTTGTGGTTTACTTTAGTATTGATGAACGTAAAAGATAAGGATCAAAGAAATTACCTGTTTCAATGAGATTGGGAAGGTTAATCTACCACATTCTTCAGGGGTTTTGACGATTTCCTTTGTGATATCTCTCCATGATTTACAAACGGATGCACAATAAACGACTACAGTTCTAGCTGGCCATGAAGTCTCGCTTTCTTCAACCCTACGGATTATGTCCAGAAGAAGTTCAGGAGGGAGATTTGCCCACTGGCCTTGGTTTATCAATTCTGATGGAGCTACATCAGGGGCAATGTGTGATCTAGTTCGGTTTCTCCAATGTCTTCCTTCAATTCCTCTTCTAGATAAACTCCCAATTCCATCTCCCATCTCCCTCAGCTCGCGCACAATGCTTTTGAAAGACATCGTGATAATGTATCATGCCAATCTCAATACTTCTCTGGAATTCATTAAGATATACGTAAGTAGCAGCAAAATTAAACAAAAGAATCAGAAACTATGAGTGATGGTTTAGGTTTTTTGTTGATTTTGTTATGGAAATGGATAGATCTGAGCTCATGACTTCAGTTACCAAAACTCTATGGCGGATTATGAAGATGAAACGGAATGAAATTTAAGCCAGATTTCTCACATATTATATTATATATAACTTCCGCTGTGAACCAAGGTTTTTGTTATTGATCAAAAAAAGCAATAGATGAACAATTATACAGTAAAATCGCACTATTACCAACATAGCTTGCGATCTACTTGTAGAAATGATGAAAAATTAGGGATTTTACAAATTTCCGAAATGCAATCAAATTAAACCTGTCTAAACAAGCTCAAGTGAAATGAAAACAACGAACAATGACAGACCTTCGAATCGATCGGAAGGAATTAGAGGTAGTTGGATAATACGTTTCAGATCGGATGAACAACGGATCGGAAAATGACTTGAAATCAGCGAATGTGGTCCATGATATTTGGGAAATTAGGGTTAGACGAACGAGTAGATCCCCTTCTTACGATGTTTGTTTTCCGATCACGGCATCGCAGCCATGGCCACCGTATAAACCGCCGCAATCTCCGGCGAGGCGTTGGAGGAAAGGATTGACGGATGAAGAGACAAACCACTCTTTTCAATCAAACGCCCAAAATCTTCACGCCCTTAAAAATATGCACCTCGGGATGCTCCATTGAAGTGTTGTTTTAATCCAATGTTTAAAATATATAAATAAATGCAATTTTGTTTCTAACCTTAAAAAAAATAATAAATAAAAAAAAATAAATAAATAAATTCGGACAATAACCAAAAAATGAGATTGGTTTGAAGAAAATAACCAAGGAAAATCAAATTTTGGAAAATGACCACAGGATCCGCAGAGCACCCTCTGCGGATCCTCTACAGCTCTACGGAATTGCTGTTTTTTGATTTTTTTTTTATTTTTTTTTTCGTTTTTTCGTTTTTTTTTGCGTTCATTTTCGTTTATTAATATTAATTTTTTTAAATACACTAATATCTTATGTGATTATGTAAATAATTTGACAAAAAAATGTTAAAAATAATGAACTTATGTTTGATATCAGTCCACAGAACTCTTTGGGAATCCACCATCTGCGGATCCATTAAAGCCTCTGCGGATCCATTAAAGCCTCTGCGAATCCAGCTACAGCTCTGCGGAATGTTGGTTTTTTAATTTTTTTTAATTTTTTTTCGTTTTTTTTGCGTTCATTTTCATTTATTAATATTATTTTTTTTTAAATACACTTATACCTTATGTGATTATTATGTAAAAAATTTGACAAAAAAGGTTAAAAATAATGAAATGTTTTATGTAATACGTTTGCTACTTATGTATGTTTTCATGTATTTGTACTTATAAATAACGTAATACAAACCGGTGTATATAAAATAACCTAATGAAAATTATATAAATATTCCATGTTTTTTATAGGTTACAAAACATACCTTAGAAAACATAAACATACAACCTTCATAGAAAACATAAACATACAACCTTCATAATAAACATACTTTGAAATAAACTTCATTCATTCAAATCGAACCACGGAAACTTTGATCTGTTTTCGTATTCCATTCATGGGTTATTTGTTGCTTGTGTCCCTAGGTTTACTGTCTCTTGCGTCCATTGGTTATCTGGCTCTTGCTGCCATTGGTACTCGGTGCAACCCTGCCATTGCTTCTGTGGCTCTTCATGCGGTTGGTATACGGTCTCTTGCGCCCATTGGTTATGTGGCTCCTGCTGCCATTGATGTTCGGTCTGTTGTGTCCATTGGTTGTCTGGATGTTGTTGTCATTGATGTTCGGTCTGTTGTGTCCATTGGTTGTCTGGATGTTGCTGTCATTGATGTTCGGTCTGTTGTGTCCGTTGGTTGTTTGGCTGTTGCTGCCATTGTTGTTCGGTATATTGCGTCTATTGGTTCTCTGGCTCATGTTGCCATTGGTTTTCGGTCGCTTGCGTCGGTTCCTCTTCTGTCGCTTTTGTCCCGCTCCCTGACGCCCCGGTACGTTTTTTAGTTTTACTTTGGTTCTTTGGAACGATTTGCTTACACGTCCTTGCATTATGAGTTGTGTTATGGCATCTAGTACACCTTCTTATTTTTGGTTCCTCACCTTGAGATGGAATACGATTGGTGTTTTTTGGTCTACCGGATTGACGTATTTCCATCACAGGAGGGTTAACAACTATAAGGTCATCCGGAACCTCCCAATCACTAAGTTTTGAAAGAGGGTATACGGCCTGCTCGTACGTTCTTCGATATGTTTCAATTTTATAAGCATCTATAGCCATATGCCCACAATGATCATTTTTCAAGTGCGTTAAAACAATTATCACATGACCACATGGGAAACCAGTTAGTTGTCAATATCTGCAAGAACAATTCTTTTCCCTCAAATTCACTATGCCGCCGCTTTTGAAGTCATGCACTTGATATGTTGTATTGTCAACACCGGATACCGACCATCCTTGAATCCCCTCTTTATTTTTTTTTAACCATATCTTCAGCCCACTTCGTTAGTATTGTTGTACTTTTTCTGTTAAAACAAACATATATTATTATATATGACATTTATCATATAATTTAAAATTAAACATAATCATACATGCAGCCATCCGCCGTTTGTAAAACCATTTCTGCATAAGTGCGCGAAAGAACTCAAGAAGTGGTAATATAGGCAACTTCCTTGCTTTATTTGATACAGCATTCATGGACTCCGCACTATTTGAGGTCATATAATCATACCTCGTGGTAGGGCAATACGCTCTGGTCCATTTCTCACATGGAATTTGACTGAGATATGTCGCTACATCATCTCTTATATTACGAAGTCTCCCCCAATAGAATTCAAACTCAGTGGTTTTGTAAGCTCTTACCAGATTCCAAAACAAAATTGTTGTTTTTTTGTTTTTTCCAAAGGTGTGGACTATGTTTCCTATTAGATGAAAACCACACAATCCATGTTGAGCATTTGGGAAAACATTTTGAATACTTACAGCAATTGCGGGTGCTCTATCTGTGACCATTGTCAGACCCTCCACATCACCAATGCATTCATGTAGTTTTTCAAGAAACCATGTCCAATAATCTGTAGTCTCTTTTGGGCAAATTGTTTATAAACATTTAAGATAATAACAAATATATTTAAAAATATATTACCGCGCATCCAATAGCGAAAAAGCAATACTCAAAACGATCCTCCGAATCAGTTTTTATGTACGCCACAGTACCAAGATTATGTTTCTTCAGATTGTGAAAATAAATTGGAAGTTTGGAGAAACTTTCTTCGGGGGTCCCCATCATCAATCCCAAAGCAAATTCTCTAGCATGCCACGCTTGTGAATAACTCATATTTATTTGTAGCAAAGCATTCATATCTCTAATTATATCATTAGGCTTCCAAACTCTCAAACTTCCTTGACCCATAATGTTATGTATTATGGTTCCCACAACTTCGCTATTTGCTTGCCTATGATTTGGGTGTATAAGCAATGAAGAACATGTATGCTCGTCATTAAACGTCTTAATTTCAAACATTTCTATTCCTTTAATGACACATGCGTATAAACGCCAATGACAGTTTTCTTGCATACAAACAACCTGGTACCGAGATTTTGAAGATTTTTCAACCTTTATCTGAAACTTCTCTCTAACGGCTTTGAATTTAACAGCAAATGCTAGCTCTTTTTTGGTGTTATAGGTTTGATTGACAATTAATTTATCATTCGGACCTAAACTGTGAAATGGTCCAGGTTCAAGAATAGGTTCTGGACAATTAGGAATAGAAGGAATACAATACCATGGATTAAAAGCAGTTTTTCGTTGTGTGTACTCATCATCCGACCACCCTTCATTTGATTTTACCTCACATCTTCGATCATCAATTTCAAGAACTTCTCCAAACTCGAACAAATTTTCACGTTGTAATTCAGTCATGCCCACTTTTGGTTCTTTATCATTATCTGATACAAAAGTGTCATTTCCTCTTCCCCTTGAACGGTTTCCATCACATTGGCTTTCTCTACGACCTCTATTAGTTTTTGTTGGATTAAACTGGTTGTTAACCACTGCTTGTTCTTCATCTTCTTCACCTACCACCGTTAAATACAAATGCACCGTCTTCTTTGATTCAGACATTACATGTCTCAATTGAAATACATCAGTTTCATCTCCAAGCTCCATGACATACCCTAACTCTGGGTGTTTAAAAGACAAACATATATGACTATTTAACACACCCGGCTTACTTCTAACCATTTGTAATAACATTTCATGGTCAATGTTAGGAGGAATATTTAAACCATAGTTTTTCACATTATTTCTAACGTAAACCTCAACTCCATTAACTAACTGCCACGAACCTCCCGTACACAAAATAATAAAACTCATTTTACAAATCACTCTCTACAAACACAACGAAAAAACAACTTCTACTAGTAATTGAAACTCACAAACTCAGAAATAACCACTTAAATACGTCTATAACTTCTATAACTGATCCGCAGAGGTGTACACTGATCCTTAGAGGTGTGCACTGATCTGCAGAGGTGTATACTGATCCTTAGAGGTGTGCACTGATCCGCAGAGGTGTATACTGATCCTTAGAGGTGTGCACTGATCCGCAGAGGTGTACACTGATCCTTAGAGATGTGCACAGATCCGCAGAGCTATACACTGATCCTTAGAGGTGTGTACTGCTCCGCAGAGGTGTACACTGATTCTTATAAGTGTATTTTAAAAAAAAATTAATAAAACATTTCATTATTTTTAACCTTTTTTTGTCAATTTTTTTACATAATAATCACATAATGTATAAGTGTATTTAAAAAAATATTAATAAACGAAAGTGAACGCTAAAATAACGAAAAAAAAATTAAAAAATTAAAAAACCAACATTCCGCAGAGTTGTAGTTGGATCCGCAGGGGCTTTAATGGATCCGCAGAGGGTGGATTCCCAAAGAGTTCTGTGGACTGATATCAAACATAAGTTCATTATTTTTAACCTTTTTTTGTCAAATTATTTACATAATCACATAAGGTATTAGTGCATTTAAAAAAAAGTTAATATTAATAAACGAAAATGAACGCAAAAAAAATGAAAAAACGTAAAAAAAAACTTCAAAAAATTCAAAAAACAGCAATTCCGCAGAGCTGTAAAGGATCCGCAGAGCATTTAATGGTTCCGCAGAGGGTTCTCTGCGGATTCTGTGGTCATTTTCCAAAATTTGATTTTCCTTGGTTATTTTCTTCAAACCAATCTCCTTTTTTGGTTATTATCTGAATTTTCTCAAAAAAAAAAAATTAGACATTATATGCTATACTTTTATAATTGTGTAGAATAATTGGTAAAATTGGGTAAATGTGTCCAATATTTATGTTACAATTTTTTTTCATCTTAAAGAGTGTTACTTCAATTTTAGAAATAAAATTGAAGTACAATAATTGGTAAAATTATTATTAATAAAATTGAAGTAGAACAATTGGTAAAATTAGAAATAAAATTTTAGAAAAAATGTTACTTTAATTTAAAAAAAATAGACATTATATGCTATACTTTTATAATTGTGTAGAATAATTGGTAAAATTAGGAAAATGTGTCCAATATATTATGTTATAATTCTTTTGAACAATTTAATTATTATTAATAAAAAAATGTTCGAAAAATTATAAAGTAACTAACTTTGT